CGGTCGTCTCTCTCTCTCTCTCTCTCTCTCTCTCTCTCTCGGCACACGAAGAACAGGTCTTTAAAGAATATGGGATCTTTGAGACATGGCGGTCTCTCTTTTTTTTGCATCTAAAATGCTCGCCTTTTTTTATCAGTACTGCAGTTCCACTATATAGATTTTGTTCTTGAAATATGGGTTTGACCAAGATGACTTATTATTGGTGAATTATATGTATGGGATCATAACTGATAAACTCTGGATATTAGCTAAAGAACCGTAGAGATGGGAGAAAAAGAAGAAAATGAAAAATGTTGGCACTCATCTACGGTTTCTGTTCATCGAGATTGGTGTTTTTAATTTTGGTCCTATAATTTAATTACTTAATTGTACAAGTCATACTTGCAACTATGTTCTTCTTCCTTGTGTTTGTTTATTTCATTTTACTATTCTTTTCTGCAAGATTTTACTTGGTATATCAGTACTTATTATCATTTTTTGCAAAAGCAATAGCTATACACAAATTATCGTGGACCATTTGATTTTCTGTATGGTTTATATTATGGTCCATTGAAATTAGGGTTTCCTATTGAGATGCTTGTCGAGTTCATCAGAGTGTCGCTTTCTGTTTTGATGGCATTCATTTGTTTGAATCAAATGATTTGATTGGGAAACTTTGATTGAGCTATTAAAATCCATATTGCAAAACTATGGGGAAAGATCATTTTTAATCAGCCCCTTGAATCAAGAGTATCATTTGCTGGAAGAAGTTGAAAGAGCTACACTCGGTGTATGACATATTTTCAACTTCTTCCTTGTTCTTGACTCCACCTGAAGCCTCCTTATTCTTTTTATTTGTAATTTTCTTTTCCTTCATTTGGCCTATTTTGCAATAGAAATTATCTTTATTCGTATTTTAATTTTTGCGGTCGATCGTATTTTGCAATAGAAATTATCTTTATCTCTATTCAGACATCATAATACCATAACATAGGTCAGAACGTTCTATTGTCTTCTTCTTTTATTTTGAATATGACTCGCAAGACAACTTAGAATAGACTTTCAAAAACATAGCTGATACGTCATCCCTATAGGAAAAAACAAGGCAAATCTGGTGCAAGAGGCTACGGCCAATGTGGGTATAGGAAGCGTCATCTCTCCTCCCAGCCAAAACAATTTGCAAACTTCTATTGAAGTACCTTTGGACTTGGAAAAAATGCTATATATCTTTGGTTGCTATTACAGCAAATACTTCTCATGTGGGTTTTCATTGTTAGTCAAACTATGGAACCATTATTACTTTGTCCCTGATACCTAACATGTTTGGTTTTTGCAACTGATAAAAGTATTAGTTGCTCATAAAATTCTGTTCATTATGTGTTCGTATGGTGTTGTTTCCTTGTGATGTATATTTTACATTTATTGTTGCAGATTGTCCATATTGATCTGTCCGCACACTGATTCACAAAACCGTCATATTGATTTGAAAGCTGTTTAAATTAGTCAAATGTTAAATAAAGTTCACCAAGTCTATTTTGCAGCTGTTGACAGTTTTTCATTTCTGTTGGTATCTTAAGCTCTCAATTTGTTGATGTGCTAGTGCGCTCTTGTCTCTGTCTTTGATCTTTCTTTGTGAGTGTGTCCTGGTGTTGTTATTCATAAACGCTACATTTGAGCACCATTATATAATTGAATGCTTGCCGTACTGACTATTGCAATATTATATAAGTGATCAGTCTACACGCATTCAGATGATTTTTTTTTTAACTGCAACTTGCCATGTGCAGATTCCCATTAAGCTTTAAGTATTGCTAGTCTAGTTTAGAGATGAGACCTCTTCTGATGGTAAAGATAGAGGATCTTGACTAAACTGCTTTTAATAGGTTAACATCCCATATGAGGATACCTTTTCAAAGGTTTTGCTTAAAAAAAAAGAACATATTATGAAATGTGATGGTAATCAATATGTTGATATTATCTTCATCTTGTTTTCCTACTCAGATAATGTTTTCTTGTTTGGACAGTCTGGATGCTGCAAGCCTCCTACAGCTTGCAACTTCATCTATGTGAACGAAACCTTCTGGACTAAACCCGTTGGCTACAATTCATCGGATATTCCAGATCCAGACTGCAACACATGGCAGAACGACCAGTCGATGCTCTGCTACGATTGCCAGTCTTGCAAGGCTGGGGTCCTTGCCAACGTCAAGAACGACTGGAAGAAGGTTGCTGTTGTTAACATCATCTTCCTCATCTTCCTCATCGTCGTGTACTCTGTTGGATGCTGTGCCTTCAGGAACAACAGGCAGGACAATGCTTACCCGAGATACAAACCGTACCCTTGAAGAATTCCTCATCGTCTTGCCTTCTGCTGCTCTAGTCCTGGTTCTTTTCTGTATATCCTGGTCAGTTCCTTTCCATTGCAGGAGAGTGTTCTGATATACACATTTCTTGGTTGCTGCCTGGGATTTCATTTTTCGTTATCAGGTACTACTACTTGACAAGGTTTTCACTACCTTGATCTTCTGGTTTTAGGTTGGACATATGGATTGCTGTTGAGAACTATTGCTTATTTCAGAGTTGACTATGTGATAATCTTTTACTTTTAGCCATGATGTTCGCCTTCAAAATAATCTTTGTTATGGTTATTCCCCATACAAAAGATGCTTATTGATTTTAGGCAAATATTAGATATGAGTAGGTATATGACCGTATTTTTTGCTTTCATCGAAAATCATGTTCGAGTGATGTTTTTATAGGAGCAAATCCCAGTAGGGACATCAAGGATAAGGGATATGACCTTCAAACAGTCTGATACTTTTTATGTCGGAGGTTCAAAATTAGCAGTTTGTAAAATCATATCTATAATAATATTTAAATCCAAGTTAAGTATACACAGAATGCATTCGATTTATTATCGATTTTTGGGTATGGGATTAAGTTAGAATATTACAAACAAATGGAATGATACGAAGTTGATAATGAACGATGAGGTACAATGAGGACGTTATTATTTGTATTTCTTTATTTATTTATTTATAATCTCACGTTAAGTAGTATGAATGTTCCTAAAGTTTTTTTTTGGTAAATAGATATATGATCCTAATTTATAATTTTTTTAAAAAAATTCTTACTATTTACTTATATATATATATAAATATATATATATATATATATATATATATATATACTCTTAATCATCGAAAATGATATAAAATGATAAAAAAAGATAAATAATAAAATGAGACAAACTAGAGATCAAAGAAAATATGAGAAATAGTTTTTGTTGTTTATTATAATAATTTTAATATTTTTAAACACTTCTGGGTCAATTGATAAAGAAAGTCAGTAATAATAATGTGCACAAGTGGAGGAGGTTACGATAAAAGCAAAAAATAAAATTAAAGAGGTTGTGAATAATAAAATTTTATTTTAGTAATTTTTTAAGAGGTTATGTATGAATAGTAAAAAAACTTCAAATAGTAAACTACTATAATAATGTTGAGGTCATTTCAATTATTCATTCATCATCTCTAAAAAGAAAAAGAAAAGAAAACTACTGGGCCCCATGACCTGGTCCACATGCGAATCCGTTCAAAGCCGCGCCAGTTGCTAAAGACTCTGCAGTGAGTGAGAACGTCTCGGAAGCTGGGAACGACTCCTTCCTCCACTAACACGAGTCTACCATATGCAACAACATGCCTTGCTTTTATTATGATGATAAGTTCCACACCTACATGTAAAAGAATTTGACGAGTTGATGCCAACTACGAACTCGGAAATCTTGGATTACAGTTGCAACATCCACATGCGAGAGCTGCCGTAGCGTTGCTGTCATCCTGAGAAGGGAATACGTACGGAAAGCAAAGGAACACGAATCTGCCGTTTGATGACATCACCTCCGCCTCAAACCGGCGTCAGGCCATGCTTCAGTGCAGCTTTCCACACCACGTCGATGCGGTCGACGTCGATGGCGCCCACCTCGTGGTGAGTCCACCCTTCGAGGTAATGAACCACTCCGCCGGCGTGGCAGGCGTGAACCACTCCTCGCTCCATCGTGTACTGTTCCATCGCCAAGTAAACACCAAACAAGGAAGATGGTTAGCGGAGCCAAGAACTGAATTCCTTTGATCTCTTTCGATCTGCATTTCGCAGGCAATGAGTAGGTTTGCACTACCTCACACGATCCGAGACCTTGGACATCCTTGGGAAGCCTCATGGCTGCCAGGCTTCCATAGGTGCAGTCCCTCCTGAAGCCAATGATGGGAGGCACCACGAACTGGTGGAAGTGCGTGCCCGGCGGCGCCCATCGCTGCTCCCTCGGCGACATCCACTTGCCAACGATCCATGTCTGCACCAACACCGGAGCTGGTTAGCTAATAGAAGTTGGATTATTCGAACCCCTCGTGCACTCATCTTCTCGTCTCTCCACCTTGCAATTTTGTGCTGCTTGGCACTTGGTGACCTGCACGAGATGGTGTTGGCAGTCTGCCGGGGCCTCCTTCTGGATATTCAGAAATCTTTCGGCCGATAGAGTCAGCATCTGTCGACGTTATCCAGTTGAGAATCAGTCTCGAGAGATTAGATTTCTGCATCCTATCGATGCAATGAACCAATGGCGATGAACTAATAACTCACTAGAACTCGGATGTTCTTCCTGCAGAGATACAGTGCGATCGCTCTTCCAAGCTTGGATGTGGCCCCTGTCAGGAACACCTCCTTCGCATCCCTGGGGATTTCGTTTAGCATCACGGCTGCCGTCAAGGTGTTGCCATGGACGACTCGAACTCTTAGATCTGGATGTTTGCTAACGAACAGTGTCCCGCCACCGTTAAGCGATTCATTCTATCGACAATATTGTGCCAACTCAATTAGCAAATGGAAATGTCAAGGCAAACGTGTTAGCTAGCTAGTAAACAGAGGAACTCCAGTAGAAATAAGTGAAACAGATCGACTTTGTTCAGTGCTGCGAGACTGAGGACTTTGACTCCCATCTTATCTGCCCTCAGGATGGCCAGTTCGATCTGGTTATTGATGCCCTTCCTGGCGAATGGCAAGAAATACTGCAACCAATCGAATGATGGATCAGCTCGGTTTGTTTTCGTATGACAACACAATGGAGAAGAGAGGAGCACTTGGGGACGGACGACCACCTGAAATCCATATCTTGGGACTACCCACGTCTGGTGTAGCCGCCCTCTCAGGTTGTAGAAGGACAGCAAGAATGTCTTGGACAGAGCCCACATTACGAGCATGGAGAAGAAGGCGAGCGGCCAAAGGAAGAACAGCAGAGGGTTGGTGAAGAACGGCATCGAGGAGGCCGATCGGAACACGAAGGGCACGTGCACGGAGGAGAAGATATCGACGACGTGCGCGAGGAAGACGAAGTCAGGGACTCGGTCGTTCTTCCCTGCATGACAACACCAGTTTTCTTTGGCATGAAACATGACAACAAACAAGAGCCGATGCCTGTCACTTCACATCCACTCCGATCTGAGTTGAAAACATGCTCATCGATGTTCAGATCTTGCACTGGAAAAAATGTATGGAAACACACACCTGCGCTAATCTCCCGTTGCAAGTCCCATGTCCTGCTATTCACTGTCTTCCCGAGTAGATCAAAAAGAGGCATGAAAAGGCAGTAGTTGCAGTTCTTCTCCTTGTGGTGGAGGCTTAGATATCTGCAAGAGGACACAAAAAAATGATCTCAAAACCAGGACAAATTACAGTATCGCTTTTTAGTCGTATGTCCTTTGGAGGATCCAACACTTGCTGCTTCGTGAAAAAGGTAATCAAAGATCGAACTGGTTCCTACTCGAAACCACGACTTGTTACCCAAGTAAATTACTGCGCGCAAAGGCTTCGATGGCGGTGCATGTCCACTGTGGGTCAAATTGAATGGAAAACAGTACATGCAGTGTGGGGGTGGGCGGAGGAAACATGTGGGTCGCAGCATGATGATGATATCACAGTCATCACGCTGTTTCATATGTGCGCATTAAAGAGCAAATACAGCCATCGTTGTTTCTTCTATTCCCTCATTCCTAGATGTGGACATACGCACCCGACCTAATTGCATGGTCATAAAACCAAGCAGAAGATGCGTCCATGAATACCCAGGTGATCATAAATTTGTGGGGTTCGGCGGTACAGGTTGTTTCAACGAGGCGAGAGATCCTCGAGTGGAGCTGTTTCATCTCTTTGGTTTCTATGCACAAAGAAATGGCACCATTGGATGCACGATCATCCACAGCGGACATAAATTACAGTGCACAGAACCTAAGATAGAAGACGAGGAGGCTCTCCTTTGGATTGTACGCGGTCATTGCAAGGTCATGTGAGTGACATAAATTATTTGGAGGGACGGGTAGGGGACGACAAGACTTACGTAGGGGAGTAAATGAGGTATCTGAGGAAGGGCAGGGCCTGCAGCAGCCGAACAGGGAACACCTCCACGTTGCTGTATCCCATGCACCTCAGGAAGTCGAAGACGAAGACGTACCCGTACACCAACCCAACCGAGCCACATCCCATCAAGAAGGCGCCGAGCAGCGGGGCGGCCATAACCGCGCCCAACACGAGGTGCTCCAATGGCGTGCCAAACCCAGCTGGTCCAGAGGGCGGGAAGAAGACAACAGCGTCACTTAATGGCCATTAAATGTATCGGGAAACGGGGCAGTGGCCACAGTGTAGTGTTGCCTTTCCCTTTTACCTGTCATCGGCGTTGGTACGGGGGAGGCGTGTTGGATAGAGTGGTAGTGGGTGAAGAGGGAGCCGCTGTGGAACCACCTGTTCGCCAAGTAGAACACAGGCTCTGAGACGCCCACATGGAGCAGCAGCGCGATGATGCACCCTTGGAGTCCCAAGATAGGGAGCTCCTCGAGAGGAGGGGCGTGGTGGGAGATCATGGATCCGAGGAGAGCTTGCAGGATGAGGAAATTATCCCTGGACGAAGAGGAAGAAGAAAGAAGAAGAGAGGAGTACTTCGGCTGACCTAAGCAGGAAACTTGGAGGTTTAGAATCTACCAGTTCCATTCGTTGTCTATCTGCTTGAAGTCGACGCCTTCGTTGATCACCCGGCGCTTGCGGGTGAAGAAGAGCATGTTGGTGAAGGAGTACCAGAGCTGGTACGTGAGGCTCCTGAGGCCGAAGAGAATTAGAAGGTGCAGCGACCACCCGACTGACCTCCCATCTCTCCATTCGCAAGCAGCCTTGGCGACCAGAGGCCCGTATAACATGTACTGCAAGACCAACGCTTAAACCAAGTACCGAGACGAGCACATTGAAGAATGCATGAGGGAAGTATGCTTGCCTTGTAGCTTCCCATGTTCTCCCATGGCCAGGAAGATAAAGGGGCACCCATTTCCTCTGCGAAGTAGGCAAGAGAGGGAGAGAGAAGCTTGGGTTGGTCTCCTTTCTCCCTCTCTCTCTCTCTCTCTCTCTCTCTCTCTCTCTCT